CTGGTTTTATAAAGTGTATTTACCTTGGAGATCAGACGACTTGGGCTAACGGAAGATGCTGGCAGAGGTGGAGGGTGGAAAAGATAGGCAGAGGAGATTAGAGGAGTTCATTTCGTTTCATGCTTTTTTGGTTGCCTTCGTTCGTCATGAACTCTATCACTTAATCACTTAACTTATTTGCTACACTCTTAATGCTACACTTAATCGCTGAACTTAATTGCTACAATTTTTTTTTCACTTCACTTTCACTGCTTTTTGCCTTTTTTGCCATGCTTTCCTCACTTTCATCTGTCCAAGGAGGTTTTTTAAATCCTCCCTTTCAGAATGATATGGAAATGAGTTAGGCAAAGTATCACTAAATAGTGGGGACACAACCCATTTGCAATTTTTTCTGGGGTTTCCTTTCAATAAACCGAAAGTCTCCCCCAGTTTTGTCAGCTTTCCCTTTTTCTCATTGTAGAGAAACCCCCTCCACTCTGGCCCCTCCAGGTACCAATTTCCTGAAAACCGTGTGTGCTGTGGTCTTGGGTTCCTTTGCCCCTTCTGTCGTCAGTTCCTCAGAGTCTCCTCATGGCGTTCATCCCCTCCATGACTTCCGGGGACACAATCCCCTCACCACTACATTTTGGGGTTCGAATCCTTCGAATCCCCTTTTTTTTTTTTTTTTTTTTTTTTTTTAACTTTAAAAGCGTCAAAAAATTTTATCTACTTTTTTTTTTTGGATACAGGGGTCCCCGCTTTTCGTATTTCCCCGGAATCTTTAAAATTCGCCTCTAGAGGTATTTTCTTTAAAAAACGGAACCGCTTTTCATAGGTTGACTCGGCGAGTTCGCCGGGATGCGTACCCACGGCGTGAGCCAGGGGGGGGCAGCCAGTCTGGCATTGTTTACCAGTGAGGAAGGTCCCCCTCACTGCTCCAGCGAATATTTCTTAAATTCCATTTTTTTTAGTGCTTGCAAGTACTAAATAGCTACCTGGCCCCAAGAAACCCCTTTGTCCCAAACCTGTGGTAAAGAAGGGAGAAATCGATTAAATTTTAAAAAAAAAACCCATCAAACAATATAAAGTGGTAAATGTGGTAAACGCCAGGATGTATAAAAACCCTACAAAACCTTTATGTTCCATAGTGACCAAAAAAAATAAAATAAAGGAGCGTTGTTGCAAAGGAGTAACTATGGATAAAAATGAGACACCAGACTGGAAGAGGTTGGGAAGTTTTTAAAATTTGGGTGGTAAAAGAAACAATTAGCAGGAGAGACTCTTTGACTTATTTTTTTTGTGAAAAAGGCTAGGCGGGGCATGAAGGGTAAAGAAATTGCTTGCAAATAGTGGGAAGTGAGTGAATTTAAGGGCCCCAAAACGGTTTGAGAGATTTAAGAAAACCTACTGGCATCCGTGTGGTAAGGATGGTGAGGCTGCCCGTTGGACCCCGGGGGCTAAAAAATATGGCAGAATTTAGGAGTACATAGAGGCTGAAAGGGCTGAAACCCGAACCAAGGTTCAATTGTGATGAAAAGGCCTCTTTTGGAGAAAAACCCCAAGAGGACCTTCATTAACAAGAGGAAAAAGGCAATGCCAAGACACAAGCCTATGAAAGCAGGCTGATGCTAAAGTTTTGTGTAATTAGTGGGGAAATTTCAAATGAAGCCCTTTTAGGTACCCTTTTGAAAAACCCCAAGTGTTTTAGGAAAAAAAAAATGTTATAAAAGTAAATTGTGTGTGTTTTTTTAAACTAATTGAAAGGGATGGGTACGAGGGGAAATTTTCGCGATGGTTCAATGATGTTTGGCCCAGTGTGAAGGGAATCTCCTGGAAAGAAATTGGTTCAAGTGCCTGTAGTAATGGACAATGCACCTGCTCATCCTCCAAAATTGGATGACCAAAATTTTGAGGAGTTTGGGTTATCACAGTAAAGTTCTTTCCCCCGAATACCATCCCCCTCCAACCCAGGACCACAGGGTTTTTGCAAACTTTAAAAAATCTAACAAAAAAAGTTTACAGGGCTTTACTTGAACCCCAGACACCCTTGACCCTTTGGGAATTTTTGGGGGAAAAACACTTCGCATCCTCCCTGCATAACCCCTTTTAGGTAGGTTGGAGGGAGTGACTCCAGGACTTTGAATCTGCCCGGAGAAAAATGTGGCCAGTTGTGTCGACAAGGGGATTTTTAAGGGTTTGGGACTGACCCCAATGACCCCCTGTCTGTTTTAAAAACAATTGGGCATGGGAGTTCCATGGGGTTGGATGTAGTTTAGGGGGTGGAAGAATTGGGGGAAGACCCCCAATAAGAGCCCCCCATGAGGAGTGGAAGAGCTTTTACGGAAAAGGGAAAACATCGCGCTCAGAATCTTGCTGAGAGGAGGAGGGAAAAGAGATGGAAGAAGGGCCCTTTTTCAGAAAATTAAAAAGGTTTTTTTCTATGGAGTAAAATGGAAAGCTTTTGGAGAAAATCACCCAACAAGGTTTTTGCAAGCCAGGGGTTTGGGAACATGTACAGTGACAAGTCTTGGGCCATTTTAGGGAAGTGTTAGAGACGCCAGAAACAGAGCGCTCTCCACAGTTATTTTGAGACAGGACTCCAGTGACTCTCAAGGTGGTCCTAGTGGCATTAAGAAACAGAGAAGAGAAGCAACCCCAGAAAAGCAAATGGTACCTGAGGTGTTGATGGAAGGGGATTCCCCTTCCAAACTATAAACAATCCACTCTCTCCTCCTCCTCCTCCAGTCTCCCATACACTAAGAAGAATCTCCAATAAAGGTAAGTGTTATGCTGTTAATGTTTCATTCATCATTTCCCATTGTATTGTTTATGTACTACATGCATATTTCATGTTAAAAATTTTTTTGTTTTAATGCTTCTGGGTGTCAGGAACGGATTAATTGTATTTACATTATTTCTTATGGGGAAAATTGATTCGTAAATCGTAAATTTCGTTTATAGTAACGGCTCCAGGAACGGATTAATTACGAACAACGAGGGACCACTGTATTTGAAAATACATAAAAAACGTAGATCTACTTTTGGAGCACTACGCATGTGAACATAGATCTACGTTTGAACAGTTTAAGGGTTAAACAACTCTTCCAATGCCTCGCCCATTGAAGTATCTGGGGGTCTGCTGCAACAAATCAGTGTAAAAGCCTCGTCCTTTCTCGCAGAGGATACCCTCCATCACGGTATCTCCTGCGAGCTGCTTCTCTATCAACCACATCAACAGCAGCTTCTCCATCTTTTCATGGACAGAGGTCCACCACTTAGAAGTTATTTTAACGCCCTTGGCTGGCATTATAACCTTTATTGACTCCTCTTGTTTTAGTATGGTTCATATCATAGAAGTACTACGCTCGTACTGCCTCACCAAGTTGACTACACACACACCTCGCTCGGGTTTTTTTATGATTTCATACTTTAATTCAATGGACATCATCATCCTCTTCTTTCAGCACTGCCATTTGCACTTATTGCTTGGGACCCATGGTTAGAAAAAAAATTTGGCAAAATAACTATACAAAAAACAGAAAACGCAAGCACAACACAAGAAAGATGCTTCCACGGCGAGGTAACCACGTGCACTGAACGAGTGAGATGCGGGATGCTAGGCGGATGTTGTGGCATTCACTGCGCTAACTACTGGAGGCATATCTGAAGCTTGTAACATGGATTTTGGCTCGCAACTCAAACCCAAAACTACTGAGTGACAGTTCATAACTCTGAAAACTCGTAAGTTGGGGCACTTGTAAGTCAAGGCACCACTGTAATTGAGCACCTGTTTCACCGCTTAGATCAGATACAACGCTTTTGTAATTAAGAAATTTCTTGACTGCTTGTACTTTAACCCTTAAACGGTCCAAAGAGATTGACATTAAAATTCGTAGTGCTACAAAAGTAGATCTACTTTTTTTTACATATTTTCAAATATAACAAAAAAAAAAAACTGTAGATAAAAGTTTTTTTTACATGTTTTCAAATGTAAAACAAAAAAGAAGATCTCCATTTTTTTACATACTTTCAGATGTTGAAAAAACGTATATATACGTTTGGACCATTTAAGGGTTAACCCTTTTCACTGTCAGGACCCCTGAAATTAAAAGTGTGGACTGGACACTATCAGGATTTAATAAGAAAAAAATTCTTCTCAAATGGTAATCTTTTTCTCAAGGAAATGACACCAAAAATACAAAATTTGATAGAAAATTTACAGAATTATGCAGATGCAAAGTTGGCAATCTAAGTGCAATTTATGTATTGGCAATGAACAAATTGCTTAAATTTGACCAAATTCTTACACGTTTCACTAGTATGCCTTTCGTTCTGTTGATTGAGCATAAGAAAGCGCCCATTCAGCTATCAAAACTATCCTCTAAAGTGCACGAAGTTGGTAATTTGGCCAATTTTACACAAAATTAAACAAATTCCAATTTAAAAGCAAAATTGAAAACAAACACTGCATTCCAGTCACTAAAGCAACACGAGATCATTTCTCATGTTTTGTCCAAATTTTACTGCTTGCAGCATATTTGAAGGCGCTGTGCTTAAAATTTTGATCTATGTGAGTGACACTGGCATCAATAATATACATAAATCTACATAGAGACAGTGAAAGGGATAAAGAATTGTTTGATTATTACAACTTTACAAACACAGTTATTTTTAAGTAATATTGCTTTTTCTGCTTTATGACACTGGTGGGTTTAGTGCTTAGTTTTGATTAAAATAATATTTGTTTTTTCTAACAAACATTTCTGTAAATGCCCTGCTTGCCATAGCCTGTCTGGAACCAAATTAACTGCTGTCATAAGACCATCAACAGTGAAATGCCTGTTTCAGTTTCCTTAGTGTACAAGACTAACCTTGCAAACATATTATGGTCTACTGGAATTGTAAATATAATGTTTTTTAATGTATTTTGGGTTACCCTCCCTTGGTGGGAGATGGTCATTAAATTAAAAAATATGTATTTATGCATATATTGAGCTAAGCACTTCATGTGGTCTGTTTAGGTATATACTTGTGGTTGCAATGATGAGGGTGCCTTGGGCCGTCACACAGACAATGATGAAGATACCTACACTAGTGGTCCCGTGGATGTTGAGGGAAAAGTGGTTCAAGTTAGTGCCGGAGATTGTCACACAGCAGCCCTTCTTGAAGATGGTCGACTGTTTGCCTGGGGATGCTTTAGGGTATGTGATCATATTTTTTATAGCTTGTTCACTTTTTTTTCTTTTAACATTGTTTTGTACACTACCTTGTACATTAATCTGAGTGCAATATATCCTTGATTTAGTGCACTAACAGAGTGGGGAAGCTGGTGGCTGGTAATGGGAATTTCTGTTTACAACTCTTGTCCCAGGAAATTTTGTCCCATATTTCCAAAGTTTATTAAATCAAGGTTTGTTAAATCTGAGTATTGGGTCATTCAGACATTGCGAACTATGTTGTTATATCCTGTATTATTTCAAGTAATTTGGAGTTTGTGTATACTGTAAATCCTCGATAATGGACCTCAAAATAATTTTATTATTTTTATTAACACACTGGCCGTTTCCCACTAAGGCAGGGTGGCTCGAAAAAGAAAAACTTTCACCATCATTCACTCCATCACTGTCTTGCCAGAAGGGTGCTTTACACTACTGTTTTTAAACTGTAACATTAGCACCCCTCCTTCAGAGTGCAGGCACTGTACTTCCCATCTCCAGGACTCAAGTCCGGCCTGCCGGTTTCCCTGAATCCGTTCATAAATGTTACTTTGCTCACACTGCAACAGCATGTCAAGTATTAAAAACCATTCGTCTTCATTCACTCCTATCAAACACGTTCATGCAAGCCCGCTGGAAGTTCAAGCCCCTTGCACACAAAACCTCCTTTACCCCCTCCCTCCAACCTTTCCTAGGTCGACCCCTACCCCGCCTTCCTTCCACTACAGACTGATACACTCTTGAAGTCATTCTGTTTCGCTCCATCTCTCTACATGTCCGAACCACTTCAACAACCCTTCCTCAGCCCTCTGGACAACAGTTTTGGCAATCCCGCCCCTTTCCTCCTAACTTCCAAACTACAAATTTTCTCTGCATTTTATTCACAACCACACATTGCCCCCCTGACATGACATCTCCACTGCCCCCAGCCTTCACTCGCTGCAACATTCATCACCCATGCTTCACACCCATATAAGAGCGTTGGTAAACTAGACTCTCATACATTCCCCTCTTTGCCTCCAAGGACAAAGTTCTTTGTCTCCACAGACTCCTAAGTGCACCGCTCACCCTTTTTCCCTCATCAATTCTATGATTCACCTCTTTTTCATAGACCCATCCGCTGACACGTCCACTCCCAAATATCTGAATGCATTCACCTCCTCCATACTCTCTCCCTCCAGTCTGATATCCAATCTTTCATCACCTAATCTTTTTGTTATCCTCATAACCTTACTCTTTCCTGTATTCACTTTTAATTTTCTTCTTTTTCTTTTTTTTTTTTCAACAAACCGGTCGTATCCCACCAAGGCAGGGTGGCCCAAAATGAAAAACGAAAGTTTCTCTTTTTAAATTTAGTAATTTATACGGGGTAAGGGGTTACTAGCCCCTTGCTCCCGGCATTTTAGTCGCCTCTTACTACACGCATGGCTTACGGAGGAAGAATTCTCTTCCACTTCCCCATGGAGATAAGAGGAAATAAACAAGAACAAGAACTAGAAAGACAATAGAAGAAAACCCAGAGGGATGTGTATATATACATATATATGCTTTAAAGGGGGGTTTGGGATATTGGCAGTTTGGAGGGATATGTTGTGTATCTTTATATGTGTATGCTTCTAGACTGTTGTATTCTGAGCACCTCTGCAAAAACAGTGATAATGTGCGAGTGTGGTGAAAGTGTTGAATGATGATGAAAGTATTTTCTTTTTGGGGATTTTCTTTCTTTTTTGGGTCACCCTGCCTCGGTGGGAGACGGCCAACTTGTTGAAAAAAAAAAAAATATGCTTGTACTTGTATATGTAGTGTGACCTAAGTGTAAGCAGAAGTAGCATTTGTACCTGAAATCTTGCATGTTTATGAGACAGAAAAAAGCAACCAGCAATCCTACCTCATGTAAAAAAATTTACGGCTTTTGTTTTACACTACTTGGCAGGATGGTAGTACCCCCCCTGGGGGCGGTTGCTGCTACCAACCTATACCTAGATTTTTCATTTTTTTTTTTTTTAAACAATTTGGGCCCTCTCCCACTGAGGCAGGGTCCCCCAAAAAAGAAAAAAATCCCCAAAAAAAAAAATACTTTCATCACTTCAAACTTTCCCCAACCCGCACACATTATCATTTTTTTGCAGAGGTGCTCAGAATACAACATTTAGAACATACACTATAAAGATAAAACAACATACCCTCCAAAACGCAATACCCCAACCCCCCCTTTAAAGTGCAGGATTGTTTCCCCATTTCCCGACTAAAGCCCGCATATGAAAATAAGGGGTTTCCCTGAAACCCCTTCCAAAATATTACCCTGCTCACACCCCAAAAGATCGTCATGTCCCAAACCTTTCTTTTTCCCCATTCATCCATCAATGCTCACACACGCTTGCTGGAAGCCAACCCCCCTTCCCCAAAAAACCTCCTTTCCCCCCTCTCCCCAACCCTTTCGAGGACGACCCCTACCCCGCCTTCCTTCCCCTATAATTTATATGCTTTCCATGTCATTCTACTTTGACCATTCTCTCTAAATGACCAAACCACCTCAACAACCCCTTTTTGCCCTCGCAAATATTTTATTAACTCCACACCTTTTTTTTTTCCCAACCCCCAAATTTTTCTGCAAATATTTGCACCACAATTACCCTTAAACGGGGACATCTTCACGTCCCAACCGTTCCCCTCCCTGTGCTGCTTTACCACCCAAGCTTCACACCCTAAAAAGAGTGTTGGGTATATATACTTTAAATTTTTCCCCTTCTTTGCCCCCATAGTAACGTTTTTTGACTCCAATATCCTTAAGCAGACTCACCTTTTTTCCCTCGCAATTCTATGTTTAAACCCCACCCTTAAAACCCATCTGCCGACCCCGTCAACTCCCAATATCTGAAAACTTCATTTTTCCATACTCCCCCTCCCAATTTGATATCCCAATTTTTTTTTAATCTAAATCATTTGACACCCTCATCCCCTTTTACTCTTTTCTATTTTTCCTTTTTAAACTTTTCCCTTTACACACTTTCCCAAACTCATCCATAACCTTTGCAATTTTTTTTTAGAACCCCCATAAGCACTATCATCAAAAAAGAACTGTGTAAATTCCCATTTTAAATTTGATTCCCCAAACTTTAATCCCCCCCCCCGAACACCCTAGCTTTTATTTCCCTTTTACAAACCCCATCTATAAATATTTTAAAAAAACCATGGTGCATTACACCCCCCTGTCTAAGACCTATTTTACCGGGAAGTAGTCTCCCTCTTTTCTACCACCCAAACCCTGAGCTCCTACCTCAAAAAAACTCTTAAGCATTTAACCTTTGGGGGTCGCGGCCCTCCCCGAAATCGTTCTCAGGGTCGGCCAAATTTAAAAAAAAAAAAAATTATTTTCTTTTAAAAAGAAGAGAATCTTTCCCGATCAAAAAGACCCAAAAAATTTTTAAAATTTGATGAAAACTTACGGAATTAGCTCTCGCAAAGTTGTGCTCGGCGAAATTTACGCATCCGTTTTCCCCACTTTGAGCCCCATTTTCGGCAATTTCCTGTCTACGAAAAAAAACTGAATATTTGCAGAACTCCTTTTTTTCTATAAATGGGTGCAAAAAACCCCCCATTTTAAATTCAACTACCGTACATGGTCAAAATTTTGCAATTTTGCCAATTTCCCCAAAAATTTCAAAAGATCCCAATTTCCAAATAGGGTCCAGAATAAACAAAAAAAGACATTCCGGGCACAAAAATGACTTTTCCCCTCTAGTCATTATCCGTCTCAAGGGCCTCTTAACCCTTTTGCTTTCCACTTTGAATTTTTTTCTCACAAAAAATATAAGATTTACTGTTATGCAGACTACTGCATTTTGGGAAAAAATGGTTAAATTTATTGGGATTGTAAAAGAATATTAGACTCACCGTTGAGTGTATTGACGCTTTGGGACGATTTGTTTACTTTTTAATTTTTGGAAAAATCGAACATTTCTGTACTTTGGCTCAATTCAAGGCACCTTTTATTTTAAAAACCGTCAAATCATCTCAAATTTCTGTAAATGTCTTCCATTCATAAAATGAGACCCAAGAAAAAAAAAACAACAAATAAAAACCATACGAAAAATACACTGCAAAGTCGTGATTTATTAAAAAAAAAAAGGGCAAAGTTTTTTTTTTTCATTTTTGACTGTGTCTGCAGGATTTTTTTTTGACTGTACACTGACCACTAGACCCTTCTTTCACATGAAAGGCCCACCAGCTTTTCCCCCTAGTTTTTAGGCCGCTAGAATTTATGAGTACTAGTACGTCAAAAAAACCCCTAAATTTTAAAAAAACTAGTACACCAAAACCCCCAAAGGGTTTAATCTTTCCACCTTTCCATATTTCTTGCAACACTGCCACTTGCCTCTATCCACTCTATATGTTTTTTTTAAATCCATAAATGCAATAAAAACTTCCCCATTTTTTCTAAAAAAAGTTCACTATATCTTCAAAGTAAACACTTGATCTCACATCCCCTACCCATCGAAACCTCCTTGCTCATCCGCAACCTACATTCTGTTTACCCCAATTTTTTCAATTAAAACCCTACCGTCACTTTTCCTGGTTATCAGTAAACTTATTCCTTATAATTTTTCAGTCTCTTTTGTTTCCCCCCTTTTCCCCTTTTTATAAAGGGGGCTATACATGCTCTCCCCCAATCCCAGGTACCTTTCCCCCTTTTTTCATACATTTATTAAAAAAAAAGTACCAACCACTCCCAAAACTATTCCCCCCCCCCCGCTTTTAACATTCTGTCTTTTATCCCATCAGTTCCCGCTGCTTTACCCCCTTTCATTTTTCGTAAAGCCCCAGTACCTCCCCACAATTACATTCTGCCTTTTTCCCCTCCTAAAAGATGGTTACCTCCCCACCCGTGCATGAAAATTTCTGCCTCTGTTTTTTCTTAAAATTTAAAATTCCCCAAAATATTCTGCCTCTACCCAATACCTCCTCTCCCCTTTTACTAACCCCCTCTCTTTTTTTTAAATGACAAATCATACTTTCCCCGGGTTTTAACTTGTTTAATCACTCCAAAAATTTTTTATTTTTTATTAAAAATTTTTTTGACAGTGCCTCCCACCATCATCTGCTCTCCCTTTTTACTTCACCTCTCTTTCCTTTCTTTTTCTCTCCATATACTCTGCTTTCTTATAACACTTCTGCTTTTTAAAAACCTCTCATAGTACCTTTTTCCTTTACCCCCCTTTTTTCATCATTCCACAATCACTCCTCTTTCCTCCTGCCCCCCCCCTCCTATAACCACAAATTCTGCCCCCCCTTCTAATATGCATTTTTAAAACATTCCAACCCCTTAACCCCCCCACACTCATCTTTGCACTAGCCCACCTTTCTGCAATATCGCTTAATCTCACCCGAACTTCCTCCCCCTTAGTTTATACACTTTCACCCCCCCTTTACTTTTTGTTGCCACCCTTTCCCTTTTTTCCTCTACCTCTTACTCTAACTGTAGCTAAACAAAAAAATGTCCGATATATCAGTTGCCCTTATAAACGTATACATCCGGAGCCCACCCCTAACCTTTTTTTCCAAAAACTAAACTAATAAATACTTTCATTTTGTGTACATCATACCTTGTTATTTTTATCCCTTTTTCAAAAATATGTTTACTTATTTCCAAAAACTCTTTTACTACCAATTAAAACCCCCCTTTCATTTCCCCCTGGCCCCCCAAATTTACCTACTACCCCTCCATACATTTTTTCCCACTTTAGCATTGAAATCCCCACCACCATTATCTCACCTTGATTCAAAAATCCCCAGCATTTTACTAACATTTCCCCAAAAACTCTCTCTCTCTCCCCCTTTCACTTCTTTTTCCCCGGTGCATACTCGCCCATTTTAAAACCCCCTTTTCACATCCAACTTTTTTTACTCCAAAATCCTTGAATTAAAAAACATTTATGTCCCTTTTTCCTCCATAGCTTATCCTTCAACATTATTGCTACTCCTTCTTTAGCCTTTCTCTTTTGAAACCCACCCCCATTTTTTTCCTCTCTACTGAAATCCCCACCCCCTTCGCTTTGTTTCACTTAAAGCCAGGACATCCAGCTTCTTCTGATTCATAACATCCACAATCATCTCTTTCTTATCATCTGCACAACATCCACAAACATTCAGACTTCCCACTTTGACAATTTTCTTCTTATTCTTTTTAGTAATCTTTACAGGACAAGGGGTTACTAGCCCATTGTTCCCGGCATTTTAGTTGACTTTTACAACACGCATGGCTTACGGAGGAAAGATTCTTATTCCACTTCCCCATGGATATAAAAGGAAAAGTAATAAGACCAAGAACTATTAAGATAAAATCAAAGAAAACTCAGATGAGTGTGTATAAATAAATGTGTACATGTATGTGTAGTGTGACCTAAGTGTAAGTAGAAGTAGCAAGACATACCTGTAATCTTGCATATTTAAGAGACAGACAAAAGACATCAGCAATCCTACCATCATGTAAAACAATCACAGGCTTTCGTTTTACACTCACTTGGCAGGACGGTAGTACCTCCCTGGGTGGTTGCTGTCTACCAACCTACTACCAAATTCATCCACCAACCTCTGCAACTTCTCTTCAGAATGTCCCAAGAGCACAGTGTCATCAGCAAAGAGCAACTGTGACAACTCCCACTTTGTGTGATTCTTGATCTTTTAATTCCACGCCTCTTGCCAAGACCCTCGCATTTACTTCTCTTACAACCCCATCTATAAATATATTAAACAACCATGGTGACATCACACATCCTTGTCTAAGGGCTATTTTTACTGGGAAATAATCTCCCTCTTTCCTTCATACTCTAACTTGAGCCTCACTATCCTCGTAAAAACTCTTCACTGATTTCAGTAACCTACCTCCTATTCCATACATTTGCAACATCTGCCACATTGCCCCCCTATCCACCCTGTCATACTCCTTTTCCAAATCCATAACTGCCACAAAAATCTCAAAATAATGTACTGTTAAAATTTAGTAGTGGAGAAAATCCTCTGGGTATATTGCACTTTCAATTGCTTCATTTTCATTGTTTATTGTAGTACAGGTCTGCCATCACAAATCTGGCAATCAGACATCCGGTTCCATCAGTTATTCAGCACTAATTTCGGCTAGCATAATTTCAAATTTCTAGGGTTGCCACACCAACCTGCTGGTACTGTTGGGGGCACTACTTGCTGCATAAGTCATTCCAATTTCTTTTTCTCCATTTGTTATAACCTGCTTACTTTTAGCCCTAGCCATGGTTCCAAAAAATAAAAGAAATGTTTCTCGTTGTGTAAAGCACCTACACAGTACATTGTCCATTAAAGATAAGGTGGCTTTGAAGCCACTGTCGGTTGCCATGAGCTCAGTCTAATGATGCAGGGGAATATGCTTTATTGTTACGCTAATATTAACACTACGGCATATTTGCGTATCACACTTAGTCTAATATGACATAATAAACAATATAAATACCATAAAAACATGCTAAATAATCCAGAATAAATAATATTTGGCATAATACTGAGCAGTTCGATGGAGGGATGAAGAGGATATGGGATACAAGAACAATTCTATATTAGAGAAAACGGAGTATAGCAAAGGGCTAACCGTGATATACACTCGTACTGCAGAATAAAACTGAAACAAAAAAAAGCTATTTTCTCTACATTGATTATCACACAGCATATGTGTAGAGAAGCTAGGGTAACCCAAAAAAGTCAAAGCAGCTTATTTCTAGCACCTAGCTTGGGCTAGCCACATATGATTTTTGGTAGATATTCAATTCCCAGCCAGGGTAGAAACATTGGGTGTGTTTCTTTACACCTGTTGTCTATGTTCACCCATCAGTAAATGGGGTACCTAGGTGTTAGTGGACTAGTGTGCGTGTTATCCTGGGACACTGACATAATTTGCCTGAAATGCTTAACATAACAAGGGGCTTTCCATATAGTAGTATGTCACTGATGTCAGCTAGGCCTGTATATCATATACATATGCATGTAGTATATAGGTAGTAGGTTGGTAGACAGCAGCCGCCCAGGGAGGTACTACCGTCCTGCCAAGTGAGTGTAAAACGAAAGCCTGTAATTGTTTTACATGATGGTAGTATTGCTGGTGTCAATTTTTCTGGTACGTCTTGCTGCTTCTACTTACACTTAGGTCACGCTACACATACATGTACAAGCATATATATACACACACCCATCTGGGTTTTCTTCTATTTTCTTACTAGTTCTTGTTCTTGCTTATTTCCTCTTACCTCCATGGGGAAGTGGAACAGAATTCTTCCTCCTTAAGCCATGCATGTTGTAAGAGGCGACTAAAATGCCAGGAGCAAGGGGCTAGTAACTCCTTCTCCTGGGATGTGGCCGGTGTGTTGAAAGAAAGAAAGGTACATGTAGTAAATAAAATTATTGTTATTATTATTTTCTCTCAGCTGTTTGTTGGGCTATCTTATTCAAACTTGGGCAATGTATGATGGAAAGATGCTTCTTAACATACACCAAAAATGAAAAAAATCAGACCATAAATAGCGGAGTTCACTTCTCGGCCATTAGCGGCCTCATAGCGGTATATTTTCATATGGTTTTTATTGTTGTATTCTCGTTTTTTTGGTCTCATTTGATAGAATGGAAGATACATTACAGAAATAGATATGATTTTGATTGCTTTTGCGATGAAAAGTACCTTGAAATTGCGTTCACAGTGACGGAAATCTTCCATTCTTTAGTGATGTTCAAGAGTGAACAAATGATGTCACGTCTAATACGTGTCCGACTGGCCAGTCCAAATTCCAATACGCAGTCAAGAATGGGGTGACATTATTTATACAATTATTACAATAATGCAGTAGTCTGCATAACAGTAAATCTTCTATTTTTTGTGTGAATAAAAATTCAAAATGATAAGCAAGAGTAATATAAGAGGGGACTGGAGCTGTGACTAAACAGAGAAAATGTTATTTTAGTGCCAGGAATGTCTGCATTGTTAATTCTGGACCCAATTTTGAAAATGGCATTCATTGAAATTTGTGTGAAATTGGCCAAATTATTTGCCAATTTCTGACCACTTTATTGGGTAGTTGAAATAGGTGGATGGGCGGTTTCTCGAACTCAGTCGACAGAATAGATGTACGTAAGTAAATATGTAAGTTTATTCAGGTATACACAAATACAGTTACATTGATTATCATACATAGCAGCGTATGTATAGAGAACCTAGGATAACCCAAAAAAGTCAGTGACTTATTTCCAGTGCCTGGCTTGGGCTTGCCATGTATGATTTTTGGTAAATATTTTTTTTTTCCAATTTGTTTGTTGGGCTATCTTATTGAAACTTGGGCAGTGTATGATGGAAAGATGCTTTTTAACATACGCCAAATAAAAAAAAAACTGACGATAAATAAGGGAGTTCACTTTCAGCCATTAACTGCCTCTTTGCAGCATATTTTCATATGGTTTTTATGGTTGTATTCTCATTTTTTGGGTCTCATTTGATAGAATGGGAGATATATTACAGAAATAGATGTGATTTTGATTGGTTTCATGATGAAAAGTACCTTAAAATTGAGCTCAAAGTAGCAGAAATGTTCTATTTTTGCCGATGTTCAGTGAACTTTGTTAAAGTCAAGTTGGTTAATTTTATTAAGTGTATTCTAACCTAACCACTCTGTAATCTGGCAAACTCCGTAATCCGGCACACTACAGGTCCGAATGATGCCGGATTTGTGATGGAGGACCTGTATTGCTCTTACATTATTCTGATTTAGTGGACACTCGGAGAATAACCCAATGGACACTCGGAGAATAATCCCTCCCTCTACTGTTAGTCTGTTATATCGAAGGTTTATTTTAATAGACTTGTTTTAGTAATTTGGCCTAATTTATACACCAGTCTCTTCCATTGTATACATTTTTTTTTCAGGATAACAATGGTCCCTTAGGATTCTTAGATAAAGGGCATTTACAGAAAACACCTAGACAAATTTTAAGTGATATTGCTGTTATAAAGATCTCATCAGGCAACAATCACCTGGCAATGCTGGCTCATGATGGTCGTGTGTTTACGTGTGGATGTGGGGAATCAGGACAACTAGGAAGGATTGCTGAAGTTTTTGCTACCAGAGATTCCAGGAACCGAAAAGGCATAGGTATGGTTGCAAGCCTTGGAATGCAAAAAGCTTCACTATTTGGATTAGTTATATTAGGGATAGCTCTTAGGTTTTTTTTATATTTTTTTCAAGGATATTTTCATATGAGATTAATGTTTTATTAGATCTGTTACAATGACCTCTAATTATTTAAATTATTTAAAAATAAAACATTTAATTTTATTCCCACTTCCTAATAGGCAAAAATGTGTTTATTATTTAGTTAATTAAAATTCTTCTAGACTTTAATGCATTGTGAGCTATCCAATGATAATTGTACACCTTTTGAACCTAGAATCCATTACAAATCCCCATGATATTTTGGTTCCATATATATTTACCAAACAGCTATCAGGTTTCTAGAACTGCTTAGTAAGATTGGAATGTTAGTATCCATTCATTTGTTGGGGAGATTTTCAGACTATATTATCAAGGATTATGTAGAGTAAAATAAAGGTTGGATGTGAAAAGTGGGTTATAGTAAGCGTATATGCACCTGGAGAAGAGAGAAGTGTAGAGTAGGAGAGAGAGAGATCTTGGGAAATGTTGAGTGAATGCATGGGGAGTTTTGAACCAAGTGTGAGAGTAATGGTGGTTGGGGATTTTAATGCTAAAGTGGGCAAAAATGTTGTGGAGGGAGTAGTATGTAAATCTGGGATGCCAGGGGTAAATGAAAATGGGGAGCCTTTAATTGAGCTATATGTAGAAAGAGGTTTGGTAATAAGTAATACATATTTTATGAAGAAGAGGATAAATAAATATACAAGGTATGATATAGCACGTAATGAAAGTAGTTTGTTATACACGTTTATAGAGGGGCAACTGATATATCGGATCATTATTTAATTGTAGCTACAGTTAGAGTATGAGGTAGATGGGAAAAGAGGAAAATGGCAGCAACAAGCAAGAGGGAGGTGAAAGTGTTTAAACTAAGGGAGGAGGAAGTTCGGGTGAGATATAAGCAACTGTTGGCAGAAAGGTGGGCTGGTGCAAGTATGAGTAGGGGGGGGGGGGGGTTGAAGAGGGTTGGAATAGTTTTAAAAATGCAGTATTAGGATGTGGGGCAGAAGTTTGTGGTTATAGGAGGGTGGGTGCAGGAGGAAAGAGGAGTGGTTGATGGAATGATGAAGGAAAGGGTGTGATAAAAGAGAAAAAGTTAGCTTATGAGAGGTTTTTACGAAGAAGTGTTATAAGAAGAGTAGAGTACATGGAGAGTAAAAGAAAGGTGAAGAGAGTGGTGAGAGAGTGCAAAAGGAGAGCAGATGATAGAGCGGGAGAGGCACTGTCAAGAAATTTTAATGAAAATATGAAAAAATTTTGGAGTGAGTTAAACAAGTTAAGAAAGCCTAGAGAACGAATGGATTTGTCAGTTAAAAAACAGAGTAGGAGAGTTAGTATATGGGGAGATGGAGGTTTTGGGTAGATGGCGAGAATATTTTGAGGAACTTTTAAATGTCGACGATAAGAGGGAAGCAGTAAACTCATGCACTGGCCAGGGAGGTATACCATCTTTTAGGAGTGAAGAAGAGCAGAATGTAAGTGTGGGGGAGGTACGTGAGGCATTATGTAGAATGAAAGGGGTAAAGCAGCTGGAACTGATGGGATCATGACAGAAATGTTAAAAGCAAGGGGGATATAGTACTGGAGTGGTTGGTATTTTTGTTTAATAAATGTATGAAAGAGGGGAAGGTACCTAGGGATTGGCAGAGAGCATGTATAGTCCCTTTATATAAAGGGAAGGGGGACAAAAGAGATTGTAAAAATTATAGATTAATAAGTTTAATGAGTATGCCAGGAAAAGTGTATGGTAGGGTTATAATTGAAAGAATTAGAGGTAAGACAGAACGTAGGATTGCGGATGAGCAAGGAGGTTTCAGAGTGGGTAGGGGATGTGTATATCCAGTGTTTACATTGAAGCATATATGTGAACAATATTTAGATAAAGGTAGGGAAGTTTTTATTGCATTTATGGATTTAGAAAAGGCATATGATAGAGTGGATAGGGGAGCAATGTGGCAGATGTTGCAAGTACTATATGGAATAGGTAGTAAGTTACTAAATGCTGTAAAGAGTTTTTATGAGGATAGTGAGGCTCAGGTTAGGGTGTGTAGACGAGAGGGAGACTTTTTCCCGGTAAAAGTAGGTCTTTGACAGGGATGTGTAATGTCACCATGGGTGTTTAATATATTTATAGATGGGGTTGTAAAAGAAGTAAATGCCAGGGTGTTCAGGAGAGGGGTTGGATTAAATTATGGGGAATCAAATACAAAATGGGAATTGTAGCAGGGAGGATGTGCTGCGGCAAAGAATGTACTGCAGGGAAGGATATGTTGCAGGAAAGGACATGTTGCAGGGAACTATGTGCTGCAGGGAGGGATGTGTGACAGGGAGGATATGCTGCAAGGTGGGTTGCTTTTTGCTGATGATACTGTGCTTATGGGAGATTCTAAAGAAAAATTGCTAAGATTAATGGATGAGCTTGGGAGTGTGTGTAAAGGTAGAAAGTTGAAAGTGAACATAGAAAAGAGTAAGGTGATGAGGGTATCAAATGATTTAGATAAAGAAAAATTGGATATCAAATTGGGGAGGAGGAGAATGGAAGAAGTGAATGTTTTCAGATACTTGGGAGTTGATGTGTCGGCGGATGGATTTATGAAGGATGAGGTTAATCATAGAATTAATGAGGGAAAGAAGGTGAGTGGTGCATTGAGGTATATGTGGAGACAAAAAAAACGTCTATGAAGGCAAAAGGGAATGTATGAAAGTATAGTAGTACCAACACTCTTATATGGGTGTGAAGCTTGGGTTGTGAATGCAGCAGCGAGGAGGCGGTTGGAGGTAGTGGAGATGTCCTGTCTGAGGGCAATGTGTGGTGTAAATATTATGGAGAATATTCGGAGTGTGGAAATTAGGAGAAGGTGTGGAGTTAATAAAAGTATTAGTCAGAGGGCTGAAGAGGGGTTGTTGAGGTGGTTTGGTCATTTAGAGAGAAAGGATCAAAGTAGAATGACATGGAGAGCGTATAAATCTGTAGGGGAAGGAAGGTGGGGTAGGGGTTGTCCTCGAAAAGATTGGAAGGAAGGGGTAAGGGAGGCTTTGTGGGCGAGGGGCTTGGACTTCCAGCAGGTGTGCATGAGCATGTTTGATTGGAGTGAATGGAGACGAATGGTATTTGGGATCTGACAATCTGTTGGAGCGTGAGCAGGGTAATATTTAGTGAAGGGATTCAGCGAAACCGGTTATTTTTATATAGCCGGACTTGAGTTCTGGAAATGGGAAGTACAATGCCTGCACTCCAAAGGAGGGGTTCGGGATATTAGTAGTTTGGAGGGATATGTTGTGTATCTTTATATGTATATGCTTCTAAACTGTTGTGTTCTGAGCACCTCTGCAAAAATAGTGATTGTGTGAATGAGGTGAAAGTGTTGAATGATGTTGAAAGTATTTTCATTTTGGGTCACCCTGCCTCGGTGGGAGACGGCCGACTTGTTAAAAAATAATAATAATAAATATTGTCATGAAACTACATTTACTAGTTCGTATGTAGGGTCAGTATTTGTTGGTATGTGAAAATTAAACATTATGTAGGCAAAGTTGGAATATTCAGTAACAATTTTTTTTTTTTTGTAGCATCTTGCACATTTGTCAAAATCTTCTTTCAGAAACTTTACTTGACCCACAGCCCATAAAAGTTTTCAAGAATAGAAAAGCTGTTTTATTTGACGACGTGTGGGCTGGAGGAGTTGCCACTTTTGCCCGGGCACGTGAGACAGGAAATATCTATGCATTTGGGCTCAACAATTACAACCAACTTGGTAGGTGTTTTAAGAGTAATTGTTGTGTGAGGCGATATCCTCTTTTTTTTTTTTTTTTTTTTTTTTTTTTTTTTTTTTTTTTTTTTTTTTTTTTTTCCTCGCCAGCCCTTTCCCACCAAGGCACTTTGACCTAAAAAGAAAAACTTTCATTTTTCTTTTTAAGTCAATGAAAGTTTTTCTTTTTGAATTTGGTAATTTACACAGGAGAAGGGGTAATTAGCCCCTTGTTCCCGGTATTTTAGATGCCTCTTACGACATGCATGGCTTATGGAGGAAGGGTTCTTCTCTACTTCCCCATGGATTATCTTTTGTTACAGGAGGGCCCCGCTTTATAGCACTTCACTTGGTGTTTTGCTAATACAATGATTTTTCAGTTATACCCATTCTTTTATTCAGACTTCCCACAGTAATTATATTCACCACTCACTATAAGCTAAGGACAAAAAATATTAGTAATGTGTGTACTGTATATGCATTTTTTAGACCTAGCTGTATTGTTCACTAAATACATGATAGTGTAAACATGTTATCAGGCTTTTATATGTATTTGAAAGTGTAAAAGGTCTATGATTCACTTTACAGCATTAGCCTGGACCCTAACCTGCTGTATAAGCAGAGCTATCCTGAATATGCTGAATTATTTCATAAAATAATACAGGTCCACATCCCTTTGTCCGAAATTCTGAAATTCGAAAAGTTCCGAAAACTAAAGTTTTTTCGTGGAGTGTGGAACGTCAGTCATCTCTACATTACTCCAATGCCCCCACATGACAGCGTCATGCAACACTGACAACCATAGTGGCAGGCATCAGTTGTGTCTCAGTGCTTGTAGTGTTCACACGTGCGTCAGCTGTTTGCTAATACAGAATTTTGTTTTTGCTTTTTATTTTGTGACTTTTAATTTCAATGTGAAAATGTCAAAAAGACCTGCAGATACCCCTATAGGTAACAGTGCAGTTGTTAATGCTTGGAAGGAGGTTGATAAATCAACATTAACAAATGCTTGGCACAGACTTTGGCCCAAAATGATGTTTGATGTAAATGAACCTACATATGAAGACTGAAGGATTTCATGTCACTGATGAGATGATGATGATATCAAACCTCATAACTTGCCTAAAAGTTTATCGGAGGAAAGTGTAAATAAGTTACAGGAAGCTGACATCGAAGAAATGCTGAACATTGACAATGATGCACTTGTGCATTCCTTGAGTGATGGTGAAATTGCTGAAATGGTGTTAAATACAAATAAGCATGTGAATAGGGATGATGACATTGTGAGCACAGGTGAAAAAGTCCCCATAGATATGGTGAAAATGTGTGATCAGTTAATTGCTGGCCTTGAACAATGTGCATTTATCAGTGAGCAAGAGATTATGGCAATTTACTCAGTTAAAGAGAGATTGCTGAAACAGAAACTTATGTTAATAAGACAGATGACACTTGAAGCCTTTAAAAACATGTGTCAATCATCTTGAGAATCAGGTTCCTTGTCTAGAATTATCCCATTATTTCATTTATCAATATATTACCCTATAAGTAGTAGTATTTGTAGCCTTTATTTGTCCCACTTAGAGCATTCATACATTTTTGCTGCAGTGTTGATGTTTGTTTATAGGGTGCTGCCCTAGACCCCGCCTTCATTCTGAAATTTGAAAAATTCTGAAATTTGAATAACTACTGGCCCCAAGGGTTTTGGATAAAGGGATGTGGACCTGTATTATTGTTTGGTAAGCATCCTTTAGAGTTTAGACTCTTGCATTTTAATATTTTGACTTTTCTTATCCTTCAAATTTAACTGTTTCAGGTGATGAAGATACCAATCATAAGTTTCAGCCAGTTTTATTAAAGAACTTTTTTGGTAAAACCTGGAAACAAATCTCAACTGGACAGCACCATAGGTATGTGTAGTAATATTCTTTTTCTCTATATTTGTATCACTCTTAAAAGAAACAGGAAGAAATAGGTCTTTTGAAATTTTGATACTATAATAATGGAAAAGAACTTGTTTGCAAATTGGCCTAAGGCATGTATTAAAAATATATGTGGAACTACAAAATATATCAGATTCATCAAAATACAAATTAAAAATAAAATTAAGTACAGTAGGTCCCTGCTTTACAGTGTTTCAATTTATGGCATTTCACTAATATGGACATTTCAAATTATGACCAAAACTCATTATTCGGCTCCCCCCCTCTCCCCACCTGACTCGCTAATACGGTCTCCATGCACCACTTTGTTTACATCCTCTGTGAGCTCTATGTCTCTGCATTATGTCTGGAAACTTTCTAAAAATTGAATATTTCTGCTACTTTGTGCTCAATTTCAAGGTACAGTGGACCCCCGGTTCATGATATTAATCCGTTCTGAGAGCTCATCGTAAACCAGAATTATCGGAAAGTGAATCATTTTCCCATAAGAAATACAGTAAGGCCCCGCTTAACGGCGTTTCGCTTTACGGCGTTCTGCTAATACGGCGATGTCAAATTATGACCAAAATTTGCTATACGGCAAGTGGTCTTTCAAATACGGCGCCCCTCACCCAGTTTGTTTACATTTTCTGTGACCACATCTATTATGTCAGGAAACTTTCCAAAATTTCAAGTGTTTTAAAGTTATTGCATATTTTATATGTACTCTGATAATTATACTTGTGTACCTGTACCTAAATATACACACTGTGCTGGTGTGCAGGTACACATTAAAATCGCTAAGTCTCTCTCCACTCATGACGCCAATACTACGTAATAATAATCACACTTGGGCACACTAAATGTCTTATTTTACATCAATATAGGCATTTTTCATTAATCCATCTATGACATTTTCCTCAAAATTATATGTGAAACCCGTTACATAGCACATAAACATGATACATACACTCACAGAATAAAAATTGATGTAAATATGAAACTTGTTTACAAAGCAGCTGTGTAGGTAGTGTCGGAAGAATTATGTTTTCTCTAGTCAAACTGGGGGATAACTGTAGAAAAATATTCTTTTCGTATGCCTTTATATATAGCAGTTCACTAAACCCTTGTGGGTTTAATGCTTTTTATAATAAAAAATATTATTATTATTAATAATAATAATATTATATTATTATTACAGTGGAACCTCAAAAATCGAACTTAATCCGTTCCAGGAGCTAGTTCTAAATTCGAAAAGTCTGAAATTCGAAGCAATATTTCCCATAAGAAATAATGGAAATACAATTAATCCGTTTCAGAAACCCAAAAATATTCACACAAAAAATACATTTTATAGAGATTAATTACAGTACTATAGTTTTTAATTATGTATAGTAATACATATAAAATAACATTTTTACTTACCTTATTGAAGATTGGTGATAGCATCTGGAAGATAGGGAGGAGGAGAGAAGGAGTTGGGATCAGTGTTTGGAAGGAGAATCCCCCTCCATGAGGACTTCATGTAAAGCCCTCTCTGGGGTTACTTCCCTTCTCTGTCTTTTAATGTCACTAGGACCAGCTGGAGAGTCACTGGACCCCTGTCTCACAAAATAACTGTCCACAGTCCTCTGTTTCTGGCTCCTCCTTAGCATTTCCCTAAAATGGGACATGGTTCTGTCACTGAACTTGTTGCAAAGATGGCTTGTTTCAGCTTGCTCAGGGTGGTACTTCTGCACAAACATTTGGACATCATTCCACTTGGCACAAATCTCCTTAATCTTTGAAGAAGGCACCTCATCCACTCCCTATATTAACACCTTTCGCAACATCAGCTTCCTTATTTGTTCTTTCTTTGACAGGATAGAACCAATGGTCGACTTGTTTTTCCCATACATCCTGGCAGGCTTAACAAGTCTCGCACCACTCTCATACTTCTGTATTATTTCCTTCTTCACATCTATGGTGTTTCTCACTTTCTTTACCACAGGGGTACTACTAACAAGTTTCTTTGGGCCCATGGCAGCTTATTTCACAGTCCCACAAGCACTAAACACAACGAAATAATCGTAAAATGCGTGAATGAGAGCGCAGGTTAGTGTTCACTCAAGCATAAACAAAGCTAGACTGCTCATGGCGCCTGCACGGGGACGCGGACAGAGCGGGCGGCAGACAGGTCCCATACCCGGCGGTCCGAAAATAGGGGCGCGTTCGATAATAGGGACACTGTCCGAAAAAATGGTCCTATTTTCGAAACGTTTGATATGTGATACTTTCGATTTTTGAGGTTCCACTGTATTAATATTATCATCTTCATTCACTCTAAAAAGTGGTGTGTTGCTGTTTGTTTATTCTGAACTAACTTGTACAACTTGTACACAGTGTAAGAGTATTTGTATTGTGAGGTAATTACAGTGGTCCCTCGTTTTTCATAATTAATCCGTTCCTGGAGCTGTTACTATAAACGAAATTTATGATTTACGAATCAATTTTCCCCATAAGAAATAATGTAAATACAATTAATCCGTTCCTGACACACAGAAGTATTAAAACAAAAAATTTTTTTACATGAAATATATATGTAGTACATAAACAATACAATGGGAAATGATGAATGAAACATTAACAGCATAACACTTACCTTTATTGGAGATTCTTCTTAGTGTATGGGAGACTGGAGGAGAGAGAGTGGATTGTTTATAGTTTGGAAGGGGAATCTCCTTCCTGCAACACCTCAGGTACCAATTGCTTTTCTGGGGTTGCTTGTCTTCTCTGTTTCTTAATGCCACTAGGACCACCTTGAGAGTCAATGGAGTCCTGTTTCGCAAAATAACTGTGAAGAGAGCTCTGTTTCTGGCGTCTCTTTAACACTTCCCTAAAATGCCCCAGGACTTTGTCACTGTACATGTTGCCAATATGGCTCGCAACAACCTTGTTAGGGTGATGTTTCTTCATAAAGCTTTCCATCTTACCCCACATAGTAAAAATCTCTTTAATTTCTGAAGAAGGCACCTTCTTCCATCTCTCTTCCTCCTCCTCTGCAGCAAGATTCTGAGCTGCGATGTGTTGCTCTTCCTGCTGAAGCTCTTCCAGCTCCTCAGTGGTGAGCTCTTCGTTGTGGTCTTCCACCAATTCTTCCACATCCTCCAAACTCACATCCAACCCCATAGAACTCCCCAGTGCCACAATTGATTTTACAATAGACATAGGCTCATTAGGGTCAGTCCCAAACCCTTCAAAATCCCTCTTGTCGGCACAATCTGGCCACAGTTTTCTCCAGGCAGAGTTCAAAGTCCTGGTAGTCACTCCCTCCCAAGCCATACCTATAAGGGTTATGCAGTGGAGGATGCTGAAGTGTTCTCTCCAAAATTCTCTTAGGGTCCAGTGAGTGTCTGTGGTCACAGTCAAACACCTGTGAAACATTGCTTTTGTGTCGAGTTTTTTAAAGTTTGCAATGACCTGCTGGTCCATGGGCTGGAGGAGAGGAGTGGTATTCGGGGGCAAGAACTTTACTGTGATGAACCGAAACTCCTCGAAAATTAGGTCATCCAAGTTTGGAGGATGAGCAGGTGCATTGTCCATTACTAGCAGGCACTTGAGATCCAATTTCTTTTCCAGGAGATACTCCTTCACACTAGGGCCAAACACTTCACTGAACCACTCAACGAAAATTTCCCTTGTGACCCATGCCTTACTATTAGATTTCCAAATCACACACAATTTACTCTTCATAACATTGTTTTTCCTGAACACACTGGGATTTTCAGAATGGTACACTAGTAATGGCTTCACTTTGAAATCCCCACTAGCATTAGCACAGAACATTAGCTTCAGCCTGTCTTTCATAGGCTTGTGTCCTGGCATTGCCTTTTCCTCTTGTGTAATGAAGGTCCTCTTTGGCATTTTCTTCCAAAAGAGGCCTGTTTCATCACAATTGAACACTAGTTCAGGTTTCAGTCCTTCAGCCTCTATGTACTCCTGGAATTCATGCACATATTTTTCAGCCGCCTTGTGGTCCAAACTGGCAGCCTCACCACACTGTGTATGCCAGTACGGTTTTTAAATCTCTCAAACCAGCCTTTGCTGGCCTTAAATTCACCCACATCACCACTATTTGCAGGCAATTTCTTTACCAAATCTTCATGCAACTGCCTAGCCTTTTCACAAATAAATGAAGTCATAAGAGTATCTCCTGCTAATTGTTTCTCATTTATCCAAACCAATAATAACTTCTCAACCTCTTCCAGTACTGGTGATCTCACTTTTGTCAGCATAGTTACCCCCTTTGCAACAACAGCGTCCTTGATTTCCTTTTTCTTGGCCACTATGGAACATAAGGTTGTGTAGGGTTTCTTATACATCCTGGACAGTTCGGCCACACTTGTACTACTTTCATATTGTTCAATGTTGGCTTTCTTAAATTCAATCGTATTTCTCACCTTCTTTACCACAGGCTTGGCACTAGGAGCTTTCTTTGGAGCCATGGTAGCTTATTTAGCACTTGCAGCACTAAAATAAATGGAATATTATGAAATATTTCGCTGGAGCACATGAGGGGACCTTCGCTCACTGGTAAACAATGCCAGACTTACTGCCGCCACGGCTCACGCCATGGGTACGCGTCCCGGACGAACTACGACTCGCGAGTCAACCTATGAAAAGCGAGTCCATGTTTATACGAAAATACCCCTATGATTGGCGAAATTTACGATTGCCAAGAACTATGAAAAGCGGGGGACCACTGTATTATTATAATAAAAAAATATTGAGGTAAATGTTTTACAAACTCTTCCAAATGGACGTGAACGAACTAAAAGTAGACACGTATTAATATGCATTTATTTTGCCTGATCAAGTGATCATCCACTACCAGTTCAGTTTGTGTTCTTACATTGTCTCAACTCTGTATCTCGTTCTCTCTCTCGTTTACTCTTTCGTTAACTAGTTGGCTCTCATTGACGATGGCATCTAAGGTTAGCTGTAATAAAAAGAGAAGTTGTAAGCCTCTTGCTTTAAGTGCCAAGTTAGAGGATGATGGTGTGCCATTCTGATTTTATTCAATAAACACCCTGCCACTCACCTCTCACACATTAATATTAATATTTTAAGGTAAGTAATAAGTGTACTCTGTGTGTATCTTACTTTTTATTGTGTTTTTAATGCATATTTCTATTGCTAACTTAATATAAATTAGTGTAAACTTGTTGTCTGGCATTTATTGCATATTTTATGCGTGCTCTGATAATAATACTTGTGGAGCTGTGTGGTAGCTGGGTGGAGGGACAACATTACGTTTTCTCTGCTCAGCCATCAGAGAAAACGTGTATGAATCTGCATTCGGCCCAGCCACTCCCTCACTCCGCTTTTGTTTACAATTTTCGGCATGAATTATTCATTAATTCTACCTTCGTTTCTGACGTCATCTAATGGTGGTAGTTAGAAATTATTAAATTCAGTGAACAAGGCATGTCGATGTTAATAATATGGCTCTGGGCCACAGTGTAGGTAGCCGGTAGGTGTAGCCCAGGCGGGCTACACCTTCCGGCTACCTACACTGACTTCCTACAAATAAATACTACTCACCTCTCTTCCTATGTTAAGACTACACATATTTTAAGGTAAATAATGAGTGTACTGTATGTGTATTTTACCTCTGGGATGTTTTAAATATCGTATATTAAGTATGAGACGGGGAGCCAGGGCTACCTACACCTGGGCTACCTGCACCTGACTTCCTACAAATAAGTACTACTCACCTCTCTCCCTACATTAAGATAACAAATACTTTAAGATAAGTAATGAATTTACTGTGAATGTATTTTACTTTGTGTGTTTTTAATGCCTAGTTCTATTACTAACTTAATATAATTTAGTGTAAACTTGTTGTCTGGCATTTATATGCATTTATAAATGGAAAAAAATGGTGTTCTGCCCTCCGGCGATGTCTGCTTTCCGGCGACAGCCTGGAACCTAACCCACCGTATAAGTGGGGCCCTACTGTAATGGAAATCAAATTAATCCGTGCAAGACACCCAAAAGTATGAAAAAAAACTTTTACCACATGAAATATTAGGTTTAATGCAATAGAATAATTACAATAACAACAATAACAATAGAATAATAACAATAGAATAATTGACACTTACCTTTAATGAAGATCTGGTGATGACTGATGGGATGGGAGGAGGGGAGAGTGTTGAACCTATTGTTTAGAAGGGGAATCCCCCTCCATTAGGACTTGAGGTAGCAAGTCCTTTTCCGGGGTTACTTCCCTTCTTCTTTTAATGCCACTAGAACCAGCTTGAGAGTCACTGGACTTCTGTCGCACAACCTATCTGTCCATAGAGGCCTGTACCTCTTGTTCCTTCATGACTTTCCTAAAGTGGTTCAGAACATTGTCAGTGTAACAGTCACCAGCACGGCTTGCAATAGCTGTTAGGGTGATTTTCATCCATAAAGGTTTGCAGTTCAACCCACTGGGCACACATTTCCTTAATTTGTGAAGTAGGCACAATGGATTCCACAACTGGCATAGGCTTCTCAGGGTTAGCCCCAAGCCCTTCAAAATCTTTCTTAATTTCCATACTAATTCTCACCCTTTTTACCACAGGGTTGGCACTAGAAGCTATCTTGGAGCCCATGGAGACTTATTTTGCAGAAACAAGCACCAAAAACAGTGATAATATGGAATGTACCGAATGTATCCTTAGATGTGTGCACACTGGCTATCTTGTAAACACTGGCACACACAGGGCAGTTGAGGCCTCACGTGGACACGTCTCGTATGAATCGTATCGCATACCGGGTTTTGTAACGGGAACCGAGGCAAATTTTTTGCGATATAATGCATCGGATACCGGATTTATCGGATACCGATAGCATTGCAAACCAGGGGGCCACTGTACTTATCATTATGAAACTAATCAAAATCATCGTTATTTCTGTAATGTACCTTCCATTCTATCAAATGAGACCCAGAAAACAAGAATACAACCATAAATACCATACGAAAATACACGACAAATTCGCTGTTTCAAACCAAGAAACACAGTTGGAGTTTTTTTTTTCCTTGTTATGAACTGCATGCTGCAGGATTTTTCTTTATACTGCACACACTGACCATGCAGACCCATTCTTTCATATGTAGGCCTACCAACTCTCTTCCACCAGATTTGAAGGCGCTAGAATTTTGGCGTATAAGTACGGGACCGACACTGGCTCTCAAGCCATACATATACAGGAGTGACCCTGAAAGGGTTAAAGAAGCAGTTAGAGAGTATACCTAAAGTAACTGCTAGAGAAATGAAAGAAAAGAACCCACATTTTCTCTCAGAGGTGTCTGTAAGAACTGTTAACATAGTGTCAGAACTGAGTTACAGTAATCACCGCCAGGTTAAGAAACCACTCCTCTCCAAGCCACAGAAGAAACATAAGCTGGATTATGCAAATAAATATCTTCACTGGAATCCTCAACAGTGCTCTGCAGTACTTTGGAGTGATGAAGCAACTTTCACCGTCACCTGTAACCGTGGGGACGTGTACTGGCCCAGAGGTAGTGACCTGCTAGACCCACACTACACCTGTGGGACCACCGAACACCCAGACTTGCTCATGGTTTGGGGGTGTTTCAGTACTCAGTGTGTTGAACTCATTGTGCTTCCCAAAAACCAGTATATGAACCAGTATAATTACCTGGAGTTATTGTGTGACAATTTACCTGAGGCGTTTGACAAGCGTGGGACTACGGTTTTTATGCAGGATGGTGCACCATGTCATACCACCAAATCTGTAGTTCAGTGGCTTAAGGACTGTGAAGTGAGGTTCTTTAATGACTGGCCAGGCAATTCCCCAGACCTAAACTCTATTGAGAACCTTGGTCAATAGTGAAATCAAGTTTACTGGGCAAGGATATCGGTTCCATCCCATGGCTGGAAGCTGCTCTAAATGAGGCATGGAATAATATACCTCCCCAAAACTTCAAGAATTTCTCTCTCTCTTCCTACATGGCTGAGGGATGTGATTAAGCGTAAAGGATGCAGCATCAAGTATTAAAACCTCAGTAAGTGTGCAAATATATATATTATCTTTCATGGTATGTGTTTGTGTTTTGGTACGTGGGTGGGGGAGGGGCGGCATAATGCTGTGACTAGCACTGTATATTATGAATTTAATATACTGGAAAACTTTTATTTTTTTCAGCAAACTGGACATATCCCACCAAAGCAGGGTGACCTAAAAAGAAAGTTTTTTTTTTTTTTTTTTTTTTTTTATATAAAGTAATTCATACAGGAGAAGGGGTTACTAGTTCCTTGTCTCGGCATTTTAGTCTCCTCTTACAACACTCATGCCTTATGGAGGAAGAATTCTTTTCTACTTTCCCATGGAGAACATTGAGAACTGTGAGGACCAATTTCAGATCAGAATATGAAAATATACTGCATACTATAAAGTAGAACCTCTGCTATCCACACAGAACTAATTGCAAAACCTTAAGTACCTACAGTTTTTTGCAGCATGGTATCACAAAATTATACTACTAGTATTATATGCTGAAATAATATTTTATTTATTTATTTATTTTTTAATTTATTACTTTCAGTTTGGCTATTACTGAAGATGGAACAACACATTGTATGGGACGTCGAGAATATGGACGTTTAGGGTTGGGACACCTGGATGATGACATCAAGAAACCTACACCAGTAACATCTTTAGAAGGACAAAAAGCCATTCATGTCGTGGGAATGTGTTTCTTTGGTGGTCATGGAGTCTGTAAGACTGATTATTTTATAATTTCATTGTTTCTTGCCATACCTATAAACTTTTTATCAAATTATCATATTTTGTCTTGCACCTTTATTATTGCAACTTAATGAATTAGCAATTTTCCTGTCAGTTTTCACTTGAATATTAGAGCATATTACCAACTATAAGCTCAGCTGTAAGTCAGCATCAGATACAGTATATGTCTAATAGTATAACTTTGTCGTAAAAGTATTGTATATTTGAATATAAAGCAGTTAGTATAGAATTTTAAGGATTTCTTTACATGTGGTTAGGTTTTTGTTTAGTTTATATAATGTATGGGTAGGGTTTTTACAGTTTTCTTACAAATAGGTTACTTTCTTCAGTTTACATACACAAGTTTTTCAGTGTTGTTAATATGATCAAGTTGGGGTTTTAAGTTTTATTTAAGTATGGTTGGTAGGTTTTCAGTTTGATGAAGATATGATTAGGGAATTTTTTCAAAGCAGTTCTGAATGACTTGAAAATTATGAACAGCTCACTTTTGTAAAGCTTTACCTAGTTGGATGAATCTTATCAGGCTGTCATGGTACACTGGCCTGCTAGTTTTATGACTAGCTCAACACGGGTTCAAAAACCTTTTGCGCCCTGGCAGCCGACTCCTGACGTTATATATACTCGTTCTTAGTCATCTCTATTAGGACTGAAGAGGCCACTCACGGGTAAACGTTTCCTTTAATATTAGACCCAGCTGTTCATACCTGTGACTCCCATGGCAATAATGATTTTATATATAAATATAATCATCACTTTCCTCAGAGGATATGAAAACTCTGCATATGTTGATTGTTGATGCAGAATTGGTTAGTTTAATATCTTTAATTATGCACGCCATACCCATCCTATGCTCTTTTTTTTTTTTTCTTTTTAACAAGCCGGCCGTCTCCCACCGAGGCAGGGTGACCCAAAAAAGAAAGAAAACCCCCCAAAAAGAAAATACTTTTATCATCATTCAACACTTTCACCTCACTCACACATAATCAATGTTTTTGCAGAGGTGCTCAGAACACAACAGCTTAGAAGTATATATGCACGATAGTTAAAAGATTATAGAGGCATATAACGGGGCTAGGACTGGCCTGCAGAGAAAACCAGTTTTATTCTCACCTGTCAAGACTGCAAGTAGACCCTTAACATACAACTGGGGATATACTGTACTAAAATCAAGTTATTGTGTGAATGTATACCATACCTTGTCAACCTTCACTAGATGTATGGCCCCATCACTTTTTTTTTTTTTTTTACACTGGGTGTGTCTTGCTAAGGTAGGGTGACAAAAAAAAAAACCAAAGGTCACATTTACCATCATTCATTGAACATCCGTTTTGCCAGAAATATGTAGGCATCACAGTTTGAATAATCGTCTGACCTGCAGCATTCCTGCCTCTTTTCTTCAGAGTGTAGGCACTAAAATTCCCATTCCAGGACTTAAGTCTGGCTAACCAGTTTCCCTTGAATTCCTTCATAAATGTTACCTTTCTTGCACTCTAACAGCACCTTCAACCATAAAAAATACTTTATACTCTCCAGCATTAAAATCACCTTTCTCTCCTTCCTTCAACCCTTACTAGGACAACCTCTATCCCTCCTTCCTTCAGCCCTAGATTTATACATCTCCTTGGTCATGTTATTCTGCCCCTTCCTCCCTAAACACACAGATAGGGAAGCTGTGATTTCGTATATAGGGCAAGGAGGAATAACATAGGAGTGAGGAAGAGCCAGTAGTGAGTGTGGGGGAAGTGCGTGTGCAGTGGGTAGAATGAAAGGAGGTAAAGCAGCTGGGATTGTTGGGATAAAGATAGAAATGTTAAAAGTAGATGGAGATATAGTTTTGGAGTGGTTGGTGTTTTTATTTAATGTATGGAAGAGGGCAAGGTACTTAGTGATTGGCAGAGAGCATGCATAGTTCTTTTGTATATAGGCAAAGGGGACAGTGTATGATAGTTATTATTGAAAGAATTAAGAGTAAGATGGAAAGCAGGATAATAGATCCACAAGGCTTTAGGAAGGGTAGGGGGTGTGTAGACCAAGTGTTTGCAGTGAAACATAATCAAACATGTATAGCCTGAAAACCAGAGGGAACACCGGACAAAAGATGGGGCACATGTGAGACAAAAGTATAACACTTCCTCTCACCACAGCAGCCATGTGAGCACTGAGGAGTCACTGTGGAGTGTGGTGGCAGGCTGTGACGTCATGTTAACAGCTGCTACCCGGCATAATGCATGGACGAAAATAGACCCTCCTGTATGGTAGGCCTTTGATTTTCGTGACGGCATTATGGCGGGGTGCTCACCCGGCATAATGCCGTGACTAGCACTGTACCTAATATATACAATACCTTGGAGATACTGAAGTGCCAGGTCCCAAATTTAGACATCATAACAGTTTATTGGGGTGGGTGGTATGGGAGGACGTTCACACTTCAGTTGTACATTAATTAATCTTCCCCATGTTTTGTTGGAAGCTCAAGCCTCTGCCTCTCAGCATTTGGTCCCCTTCTGTCCATCCCAGATTTATACTCTTAACATGATTGGTCCATCTCTACAATCCCCTCTTCCACTCATTGAATAATGGCTTTCATAGCACTGCATTCTAATTTTTCCTTATTTTATTCTCTGCATTACATTCACAACACACATTTTGATCTGTGGTACATTTCCACTGCCTTCATCCATCTAATGTCTTGCTCTGTTATGTGCTTACTTTAAATTTCCTTCTTTTACACACTCCTAAACTACAAATTGCTTCTTTTCCATATCTAAGTACTGTAATATCCAGTTTTTTGCCTCGGTACATATTCTCCCTTAGTAAATCTAAGGGAGGAGTAAATCTACCTTGTGCCAGAGGGCACAAGTAGATATTTATACAGTGCAGTATTCATGGCAGTACAAGTGTCATGGAGCATACATGCACATTACAGAATTTATACTCCATTCATACTTTGCTGTATTTTCTAGGATGGAAAAACAATACCTTATATGGAAGGACAAGCAATATTAAAAGATGAGAAAATTGGTGTCCTGGTAAGATTTTTATTCATCTCAAGATGTGCAAAATATGTTAACTTACCAGGTCTTTAATGTTTATGGACTAATGTATTAAACTTGCAGGTGATGTGTATGGCTTTGGGATGGGAACAAACAACCAGCTGGCTCAGGGAAATGAGGAAGACCAGTTAGTTCCTGTAAAGTTGACTGGCAACCAGCTAGCTCAGCGAAGAGTTGTGGCGGCAGCAGCTGGAGGACAACATACAATTATTCTTGCTGTACCCAAGTGATGTTTGTTGTTTTAGGATGTATTATTTTCTTATAATGTAAAGGTACTTTATTTTGCTCAATGGCACAACTAATCAGTGTCCATATGCTTGTTTTGATAACTTATTTGTACAAATTTGTGTGACTGAATGCCTTGCTAGCCTGTGTGTGGTTTACATTAAGTCATTTACATTTTGAATATGAATGTTTAGTATACTGTATGTACTTCTGATTTCTATGTTATAAACTAGAAATGTTCATATGAAGCACAGTTTTCAGAGCTATTTACCTTGTGTAAACATGCTTTTTGTGCATTTAAAAATCTTTTAATAAAATTTGGGATCTTGCCAAATTTTTCATTGAATTCTGAAGTACATATAATACAGTTAACTTTTAAAATTTATTTCTAATTTCTGTTACATGGTCAAGACTAAAGTGGAAGTATTATTTTTTGCGTTTTCTGTGAAAGAGTTTTGACGGATTCCAAAGAAATAGTTTTAATTTATTTTAAAGACAGGTCACTTAAGTAGTTTTATTCTTAGGTTATTGGGAATATTTTACATATAACTGTTTTTACCAGAGAGGCAGTATAAATGAATTAAATTGTTATTTAGATAAGCAAGCCGGTGATATGATGTTAGTTCCTGTGATTAAAATAAAGGTTTCACAGACTAACTATTTTATTTCACCTGTGTGTTGCATTTAGGTTTTGGGCTATTGTCTTTCAGACAAAAATTCTTCTTTCAACGTACCAGCCGTATCCCACCGAGGTGGGGTGGCCCAAAAGGAAAAACGAAAGTTTCTCCTTTCAAATTTAGTAATACAGTGGACCCCCACATAACGTTGGCATCGCATAGTGTTAAATCCGCATATCGATACATTTTATCGCTAAAATTTTGCCTCTCATAGTGCTAAAAAATTCGCTCAACGCGTAGGCATTTTATAGTGAATCTGCTTATCTGATTCCATTTTCAGTTTTATGCTGGTTCTAATTGTGTCTTCAGGTTTTGCAGCATTTTTCCAAGGTTATTTTGTTATATGAGGGTCGCATTATATCAGTTTTCAGACTGTATTTACACAAAAGCACTAATCTGCATGGGTTCATTTTCAACCCTGTTTGTGAATAGAGTAAGATAAAAATCTGACAGCAGTTCCTTCTGTGGTGGGGGATATACAGTTTTTGTTGGTGCTGTGGCTGCACTGTATGAGATGAGATTTCTTTACCCATGATGATGGTGGTCTGTGAGGGGTCTACTTGCTGCTGCACCATGCAGTTGTTATTTATGAATACCCATAGGCTCTTCATTTTCACTTGCTTGGAAATTGAGCATGCCCTTTGAGCTGTGGCCCTTCTGAAAGTGGCTGAATGAAAGTGAAATATGTGATTTATTATTTGCCCTGCCTGAATTAATCTTCTGGTCTTGCATCACAGTTGTCTGGTGATGGCCTGTGTGCAATCAGTGGTTTTCGGTTTAGTTCAAGCCCACTTTGTAAATGGTGGGCTTATGAAAATGGAGTTCAGATGGTGTTCAGTGGGTCAAGTCATTCTTTAGCTGATGGTCTGTGATGTAGTAATGTATTTGATTAGAATCACTTGAGCATAGGAGGGTGGTAGTACTTTTTGGTCATGTGGCTGCCACTGAGCCCTTTGCTGAACACGTGTATAGACCTTTCCATTAACACTGCTGTTTTGTTTATTCTTTCCTTTGTTGGACTTGTTGGGTAACGATATGGAAAGCTGAAGTTTTTATACTGTGCTATTTATAAATATTACTCATGATTTATCTGTACCAGTCATGATTGATTCCAACTTTTCTGTAATGCAACATTGACATGCAAATCATCCTTATACGCTCAACGAATCTTCCTCTCTTTCTGCCACTCTAAGTGTTTCCAATAGTTCTTGACATTTCTCAACCTCCTCACCCTACTTCTAGAAAGATTCCTTTCCTCTTCTGGGTATCATTTATTTTCCATGGTACAGCAAACATTGTCAGTTCTAAAAATGGCCTCAATTTTACCACGTGAAATCTTTAGTTCACCCTTTCAAAAGTATTTAACCCTTTGAGGGTCCGTGCCGTAGATCTACGGCTATACGTTGAGGGTCCAAACCGTAGATCTACGCCAAAATTCTAGCGGCGTCAAATTTAGCGCTGGTAGGCCTACCTATGAGAGAACGGGTCTGCGTAGTGTGTGTGCACCATAAAGAAAAATTCTAGGCTCTCGCATAGCATTGTGGGAACGCCGCCTCCATGCCTTGTCGCAAGGCAGCTCTCACTCCAAGGCGAATTGGGACTCTCCTCTTCCTATCTGATAGTTCTGACTCTGATGGAAGTGGAAATGAATATGAATTCTATGGCTTTGATCAATTAGTGACCAAAAGGAATGACCAGGATATTGAAAATAGTGCAGAAAATCCTGACGATCCTCAACCTTCTACCTCTGGTGTGGGCACGTCTCGGTCACGTTCAGTTGTACCTCGTCGCAAGGGAAAACTAATATTTTCATGTGGCCAGGCCTCAAACAATCATCCGAGTAATGATAGTGAAGAATCATGTTCACCAGTGAACCATCAGTACATATGCCACCGCATGCGCTCAGGTAGTGTTCCCTATGCAGTGCCCAGGGGACGGAGTACATCCCGTGGCCCTACACCAGGAATAGACAGTGAAAATGATGATGATGTGGCTATACTTGGCATGGATAAACCACAGGCATCAGTAGGTGGTGGTATTGGTGGTGATGGTAGTGCCACGGCCATACATGACTCGCCAGCCCAAGCTGGGACCCATGCTGCTGACTCCTCAGCTCAAGGACAAAGCGAAGTGTCGGCCACCACCCCACCACAATTACAACTACCACCACAACCAGCTTATGATGTCCAGTATCCACCAGCAAACTGTATCTGGGATTGGCATTAAAATTCCAATTTTGTTCCCAAGCCCCACCAGTTTGATGACTCAAAGTGGAATTCTACCAATTTCCTGTCCCCTTGGAAACACTGCAAATGAACTGGAATTCTTTGAACTATTCTTTGACCAGCCCTTGATGGAAACTATTGTCAGGGAAAGTAACAAGTACTTTGAGTGCACCATGGCAAATACAATCATATCACCGGTGGAAAGAGAGAACTGTGGCTGAAATGTATTTGCTTTTTGCAACAATAATGCTCATGCCCCATGTCTATAAGCATAATATAAAATCATACTGGTCCACAGATTGGGTAATTTGTACCCCGGCCTTCAGTGAAATCATCCCAGTGAACAGGTTTATTTTACTGTTACGTATGTTGCACTTCTCTGACAAAACCAGGCCTGATAGAAGTGACAGGTTATACAAGATTAGAAATGTTTTTATGTATCTGAAGCAAAAGTTCAACATGTACTTTTATCCATTCAAGAATCTTGTAATTGACGAGTCTTTGATTTTGTTCAAAGGTAGGCTGTCATTCAAGCAGTATGTACCGAGCAAGAGGAAACGCTTTGTTATAAAACTGTTTGTACTCTGTGACTGTGACAGTGGCCTGGTATTGGATATTACTGTATACACAGGAAGTAAAACATTGAAAGATACCAGGATGTTATTGGGTATCTCAGGTGACGTAGTGAGAAGCATGATGGCACCTTATCTTGGTAAGGGGCATACATTATATACAGTGGACCCCCGCTTAACGATCACCTCCCAATGCGACCAATTATGTAAGTGTATTTATGTAAGTGCGTTTGTACGTGTATGTTTGGGGGGTCTGAAATGGACTAATCTACTTCACAATATTCCTTATGGGAACAAATTCGGTCAGTACTGGCACCTGAACATACTTCTGGAATGAAAAAATATCGTTAACCGGGGGTCCACTGTACTGATAACTGGTACACAAGCCCTTTACTCAGTGATTTCTTGCGAGTGAACATGACAGATATGTGTGGCACAGTGCATTCTAATCATAAACATATGCCCAGGTTCAATGCAGGCACTCGTAGTGGTGAGATGCAGGTGTTTACTGCCAGTGACCTCATGGCATTACGGTGGCATGACAAACGAGATGTCACATTCTTGACAACCATTCACCGTAACGAAATGCAAGACAGTGGCAAAGTTGATAGAGTGACTAATGAACGTATTCGAAAGCCAGTGACAGTGATTGATTATGCACAAAACATGCGCTTGGTTGACAAGTGTGACATGCAGATTGGCTTTGTTGATTGTGTTTGTAAGAATTACAAGTGGTACATGAAACTTTTCCATCTCATGGACATTTCAATGCTCAATGCATATAATATGTACCAAATGAAGACTGGCAACAGACCATCATATGGTGAAGTTTGTCTGTCTGTTGTCAGACAACTCATAATGAAGTACAGTGGACCCCCGGTTTACGATATTATTTAATTCTGAAGTATGTTCAGGTGCCAGTACTGACCGAATTTGTTCCCATAAGGAATATTGTGAATTAGATTAGTCCATTTCAGACCCCCAAACATACACATACAAACGCACTTACATAAATACACTTACATAATTGGTTGCATTGGGAGCTGATCGTACTAGGTAATAACACCTACTATACAAAACCGTCCTCGAACTCCTCAGGAAATACCCAAGCGTTTGAGGAGGGAAGGTGATCACTTCATAATACAGCTTCCTACAACTAAGAAGAAATTTGCTCAGAAGAGATGTGTTGTCTGCGCACAAACAAAATGACGGCAACAAAGATGCAAAGACACTCGGTTAATGTGCGAGGAATAAGGTCCCTCTGTGCATGATACCTTGTTTCAAGGACTTCCACAAGCTGCAGCAGTTCTAAAAACATGTCCAGTGACTGTACATATGTAAATATGTAATAGAACATTAGTATTATACAATATTTGTGCATGTTTATTGTAAACAAATGTGGTAAACAATGTTATAATAACAACTTTAGTGCGGTTATTGTGTTCAATACAGTGAGTGTATATATATACATTATATACAGTATTGGTCTCACAGGCCACAAATGTTACTAGAAAAAGAAAAAATTAGAAAAGAAAAAAGTATGAAAAACGTAAAATAAAGAAATGCGAGTTTGTGGAAATCGCTGATGTTACCGCCACCTGGTCATTTTGGGTCAACTTCTCACCTCTGTATCTCGGTAAGTACTGATCAGAAGTTTTTTGTTTTTGTTTTATTACCTTCACAAAAACATAATCTTTAATTCTGTACTTTTTTGAAAAAAAAAAAATTCTTGGACACTGGGGCACCCCTTCAGATTTTGCCTTTGGACCCTGAAAGGGTTAACAGCAATTAATGATACTTAATGAAATAACCATTTTCCTCTTATTGGCTGTGTTCACTCTGAATTAAAAGCTGCATTGGTACGACTTAATTTTCACATGCTTCCTTGGTGAAATATGGTAGCAGTGTAGATCATGCTGCACAGTAAACTTTGTGAAGTAGTGTGGCAAGTTCAAGTATAGTTGGTCATTCTTTTGAGGTTAGACAATCATCAAGTATAGTTGGTCATTCTTTTGAGGTTAGACAATCATTTTTTGTTGTTTACAGTGCATTGGTGCTATTTTTTTTGTAACAGAATGGAATCTTGAGTGGGAATTTTTCATTTTGTAACCAAAAAAACATAGCAGTTGTTCCCCACCCTTCCTACTACACAGATGTAGCCCCCATGTGACTTGTTTCT